AGGGCTGTAAACAAGCATCCAGCATTCCTGCTCTCTAATATGTCATCCCTGGACCATTCCTTAGCAGGTCTAAAAATCCCTCAGCCATGCCATGATGTAAGGGCAAGGATTTTCATCAGTCAGGAGGGAAGCAGGGAAGTGATAAGAGATTTGAGCTGTTCACCTTAGAAATACAACAGAACTGTGTGTAAACCCAGATTTGACTCATCTGACAGTATTTGTGGAGAACGGGGAGTTTTATTGGAGGATAAACCCCAAGGTTTGTTGTTTGGCAGATTAGGGAACTCAGGTATGATTAGAAAGGGTCATTGGGAAATGTGACACTTGGAAAAATAAGTGAATTATCCAGAGATTAGAAATGAGTAACATCCAAGTGGTTTTCACATCAATAGCAGCAGTAGCTCTTCACTTAATAACCAGGAAAGCAGTAAAAAGATTATATTATTTTGGCCTTGGTTAAGTGATGAGCATGTTATTCAAGGATGCCAAGGTCAGAAAGGGATGGAAACATTTGACTGAGCTAAGAGATGGGATGAATGAGAGCAGGAATAGTCTCCAAAGCTTATTGGTTAAACAACCATCTCAAGCATGAGATAGTGTCAAAAAGAAATAGGGTAAAAGACTGATCACTAAAAAAGCTACGTCTTAGAAGCAAAAATACATAATGTAAAACAAGAATTATTAAAATTTGAAGTGTTCAAGGCCAGGTTGGACAGAGCTTGGAGTTACCTGGTCTAATGGAAGGTGTCCCTGCCCATGGCAGGGCATTGGAATGAGATGATCTTTAAATTCCCTTCTAACCTGAACAATTTTATGTTTCTATATTTCTATCGAAGATATTAAATACTACAGCAAAAATGTTTGGACATGTGTCCAAGAGGACAAGAAGGAAAACAGCAGGACCTCTGAAACACTGTAATGGGATAACAATTAAAAATAACAGCTGAGTGATGGTTTTGGCCATGTGGCAGAGGCAGGACACCTTGCTACATTACTGCAGTGTCTGTCTCCATTTTTAAACACCAAAAAATGAATCTTAGAATCATGGAAGCTTAGGCTTCCATGCAGCTTTGAGATGTGATGTTATGTGGAAAAGTACGAACTAAGCTGGAATTGGCAGCAGGAGCATCAAGTGAACAAGAAAATGAACATAAGTTAGTAATAAACTATACTGAAAAAGTGACAGATTCAGTCACTACTGGTGACTCCTGAAATTTCAGTCCTGGGGCTGATTGTACTTAGTGTTTTTATCAAAATCCTTGGCATCACTGTGATGACAACAAGAAATCAGGAGACATCCATTTAAAATAAAATTATCAGATTGTGAGCAACAGGCTTGCAAAAGGGGAACTATTAAAACCAATAAAATGCTACAGAATTCTCACTTTATGGGCAGTTATTTGGAAATTATCGAGGAAAACTTAGGAAAACCAGCTGATCACAAAAGGGCAAAAAACATTTCTGCAAAGCAAGGGCAACCATGAGCCTTGCATGAACCATGAAGTTCCACAAGAGATAATGAAGCTTGTAAATTACATCATTAAGGTATTAACTGTAATATTTTGTGCCAGTCACATTCAGGGTGAAGTCAGACTTGAAGTCAGACTTGAATCCACATGCAGAAAGTCTAGAAGTGTGGTAAGAGAAATGAAAATAATGTCTTGTGACAGGAAAATTTTAAGAGCATGTTTTATTTAATCAAGCAGAACAAGGGCTGATGAGAACTTCTCTTTGCCTACAAATCCACCAAGAATAACTGTGAAAAGAATTGCTTAATTTTACATACTTGCCAGAAGACTGCATGTAAAACCTGTCCCCTCTGTCTTTAGGCCAGGATCTACAAGATTTCCACTTATTAGAGCATTGAAGTGTAATCTTTTAATTAGAAATTCTGATGGCAAGAAAATTATCTACTTTTAGGAAGATACTTGCTCAGTTGAAGAAAGAAATTATGAGGTTTCTTCCAGCCTTCTCTTAGCAGTTCTGCTCTTTGTAGTAGATCCTGGTGGCTCTACTTCCTCAAATGCAACAAAACAGGATTCCCAGATTCAGCACAGGCCTAGACCTCTTCCAGGAGATGCATCTGTGGAATGTTTGAGAATTTTACAAAGGAAGCCTTTGAGGGCTGACAGGAATTCATGGGTTAAGGATTCTGTATGAGAGGCATGGCGCTGAATTCCAGATGGGATGAAGCCATACAGCTTAGTGTAAACAAATGGTTATGATTCCTGTCAAGATCAATTTTTCATCTCCATAAAGCCCAGTTTAATAACATGGCACAGGCACTGCTGAAAAACGGGAATATCAGCTTTCCAACAATTTCCCAAAATTGAAATAGAATCTGTTTTGGCAAAAACAGTACCGTTGTCCACCAAGAAAAACATTTTAGGTAGGTAGTTATGTAAGCAGTAAAAACAAATGTTTTATAAAATGCACCCACAAGGACTTAGAAGTATTAAAAAAAGCCCCCAATAATAATTAACCAGATTTCATGAAGTATGAAACAGCCAAAAATAATAAGCAGTACAGCTGAAGGAGGTGAAGTCATTTCTCCTACTGCACTCCAAAGCTTGACCACCTGGAGAGATTAAAAAAATATATCCAAAGAATTAATTTTCCTAATATGGGCACAGTGCAAAATTCTGTCTCTTAACATGACTTCATTTGGCCAAAGGAATGGAATTTTATGGAAGCCTAATATATTTTACAAGTACTTGTTTCTCTGGCACAGCAGCAAATCTTCGGGAAGGTAGATGAAATGAAGGAGCATCTACTAGATTTCCTTTGGAACCAAAAAAAGCTGGTATTGTCTCCTGAAGAGAAAGTAACATTTTAAATTAAAAGGTAAGATTAGTACAAGATCAAGTCCATGAATAAATTTACTCTGGAAACTGAAATTTTCTGAACTTCTGAGTTTCTACAACTGCATTTTTTAGATAGTGGAGCAAGAAGCCTATTTTAAGGTAAAGCTTGGTGGTTTCATTTCCATGACAGGACAAAACCAATCCTTGAGTCAAAACCTCATCTTTGGATCTATGAATATTAATGTCTGGATATCTGATTGCACTGACTTTGTTAACATCACCTTTTCCTATAACTGACCTCGAGAGTCACCTCGCACAGAATTTTAGTGTTCAAGGCATTGATAATCCAACAGAGACATTTAATGGGAATTAGAATCTGTTCAGCTCTTTCTTCTGCTTTTGATCAGAATGTCTTTGGGTTTCATTGAGAAAACCATTAATCCAATCTGTGGCCTGAAATTTTTCCTCGATCCTTAATTGCTGCCTCCAGCTCTGGGGTCTCAGCATGGGAAAGACCTGGAGCTGTTGGAGAGAGTCCAAAGGAGGCACCAGGATTATCACAGAGATGGAACAGCTCTGCTGCGGGGAAAATCTGAAAAAATTGGGATTGTTCAGCCTGGAAAAGGCTCCAGGATGAGCTAATTGCAGCCTTCCAGTAACTGAAGGGAGCCTGCAAGGAAAATTGAGAGAAACTATTTACAAGGGGCTGGAGTGGCAGCACAGTGAGGAACGGCTTCAAATGGATAGAGAGCAGCTTTAGATTGAATATCAGGAAGAAATTATTTCACTGGGTGGGGACAGGGTGCCCAGAGAAGTTTTGGCTGCCCTGGATCCCTGACAGTGTCCAAGACCAGGTTGGACAGGGCTTGGAGCCACCTGGGATAGCAGAAGGTGTCTGACCATGGCAGGGATGGAATGAGATGAGCTGAGAGGTCCCTTCCAACCCCAGCCAATCTGGGATGGAATGAGATGAGCTGAGAGGTCCCTTCCAACCCCAACCAATCTGTGTTTCTGTGACTCTGAAGTTCAGATGCTTGGTACGTAAGGATGCTGTCTAGTGTTGCTGGCTGTCAATCATTTGTTTTTAAAGATAAATAAATAAATAAATAAAAATAAAAGAAAATTAATTAAAAAATATTTAGGTGTCCTGTGGATGCTATCTTGGTGCGAGTCCTTTCTTTAGAAAAAATGTATCCTGCATAGCACAGTTTCTATTTTAACATTATGTTATAACCTAAAACTGTATTTAGCACACTACTTAAGAAAATGAATACAGCATAACTTTCCAACATAATACATATAACATTAATTTTAATATTTGCGAAAAGCCAATCATAAAACACACATTTTTCACACTGGCTAAGAATCACAGAAATATAGCAATTTTATTATTATTAAACAGAGCTTTATTGGATATCAATATCAGGGTTTCCCCTGTGCGTTTCAGAAACTTCCTCAGCTCTTTCCTCCGGGTTTGTGCTGACTCCCTGTGGTCGTTTTCGCCATGGAAACACCATTTGCGAAGCCGGCACCGCGATCAGGAGCAGGAGCAGCACCGCCGCTCCCTCTCCGCCCTCAGGATCCTCCCCGGCGGCGGGGACCGCACACCAAACACACCGATGGTGTTTAGCGTTGGACAGAGGCCATCCCATCCCATCCCATCCCATCCCATCCCATCCCACCGCACCCGCTGCAATCTCGTATCGAGCACACCGAGTGCCACCGAGGGACGCTGAGGGCGGGCGGGCGCTCCCGCCCCGTTCCTCCCGCGTCCCGCCCCTTCCCCCGGATGCGGGCCGGGATGGCGCTGCCCACCCCGCGCTACGAGCACCTGGGCCCGCGGGGGCCCTTTCGGGACGTGTACGAGCCGGCCGAGGACACCTTCCTGCTGCTCGATGCGCTGGAGCGGGACGCGGGCAGCCTGCGGGAGGCTCGGTGCGGCTGGGCGGGCAGGGGAGCCGGGAGGGGCGAGCTGAGGGGGGATTGTGGCACAGGGGGGTTAAAGCTGTGAGGGAGCTCCAGAGGGGCTGCGGAGATGGGGAAGGGCCGGGAGGGGTGAGCTGAAGGAGGATTGCTGGCACAGGAGTGTTAAAGCTGTGAGAGAGCTCCAGAGGGGCTGCGGAGCCGGGAGGGGTGCTGAGGGCGGGCGGGCGCTCCCGCCCCGTTCCTCCCGCGTCCCGCCCCTTCCCCCGGATGCGGGCCGGGATGGCGCTGCCCACCCCGCGCTACGAGCACCTGGGCCCGCGGGGGCCCTTTCGGGACGTGTACGAGCCGGCCGAGGACACCTTCCTGCTGCTCGATGCGCTGGAGCGGGACGCGGGCAGCCTGCGGGAGGCTCGGTGCGGCTGGGCGGGCAGGGGAGCCGGGAGGGGCGAGCTGAGGGGGGATTGTGGCACAGGGGGGTTAAAGCTGTGAGGGAGCTCCAGAGGGGCTGCGGAGATGGGGAAGGGCCGGGAGGGGTGAGCTGAAGGAGGATTGCTGGCACAGGAGTGTTAAAGCTGTGAGAGAGCTCCAGAGGGGCTGCGGAGCCGGGAGGGGTGAGCTGAGGGGGGATTGTGGCACAGGGGTGTTAAAGCTGTGAGGGAGCTCCAGAGGGGCTGCGGAGATGGGGAAGGGCCTGCAGGGGAGTGAGCTGAGGGGGGATTTCTGGTACTGGGGTGTTAAAGCTGTGAGGGAGGTTCAGAGGGTCTGCGGAGATGGGGAAAGGCTTGCAGGGGAGCCGGGACGGGCGAGCTGCGGGGGAATTGTTGGCACAAGGGTGTTAAAGCCATTGGAGAGCTCCAGAGGGGCTGCGGAGATGGGGAAGGACCTGCAGCGGGGTGAGCTGAGGGAGGATTGTTGGCACAAGGGTGTTAAAGCTCGGAGGGGGCTCCAGAGGGTCTGCGGAGATGGAGAAGGGCTGGCAGGGAAGCCGGAACGGGCGAGCTGAGGGGGGATTGCTGGCACAAAGGTGTTAAAGCTCTGAGGGAGCTGCAGAGGGGCTGCGGAGATGGGGAAGGGCTGGGAAGGGTGAGCTGAGGGAGGGTTGTTCGTACAAGGGTGTTAAAGCTCTGAGGGAGCTCCGTAGGGGACGCGGAGATGGGGAAGGGCCTGCAGCGGGGTGAGCTGAGAGGAGATTGCTGGCACAGGGGTGTTAAAGCCATTGGAGAGCTCCAGAAGGGCTGCGAAGCCGGGAGGGGTGCTGAGGAGGGATTGTTGGCACAAGTGTGTTAAAGCTGTGAGGGAGCTCCAGAGGGGCTGCGGAGATGGAGAAAGGGGCTGAGGGCGCTTGGCTTCTTCAGCTTGGAGAAGAGGAAACCTCATCGCTGTCTGCAGCTTTCTCACGAGAGGCAGCAGAGGAGCCAGCACTGGTCCTGCTCTGTGTGAGCTGATGGGATGGCCTGAAGCTGTGTCGGGAAGGGTTAGGGTGGGTATCAGGAAAAGGTTCTATTTCCCTAGGCTGGGAGAAAGCTCCTCAGGGAATGGTCACAGCACCATCCTGACAGCTCAGAAAGTGTTTGGACAACGCTCTCAGGGATGCACAGGATGGGATTGTTGGGGTGTCTGTGCAGGGTCAGGGGTTGAACTGGATGATCCTTGTGGGTCCATTCCAGCTCAGGATATTCTGTGATTCTGTACTTCAACGTGTTTAGGAGGACAGCATATTCTATAATGCTGTCTTGACCAATCCTGTGTCTGTTACAAACAAAAGTCATCCAGAGTGTTCTCTCTTTAGAGTCGAGATCTGCCTTGAAATAGGATCTGGATCTGGTGTGGTTTCAACATTTCTGGCTTCTTCCATCCTTGGACCCAGTGCACTGTACATGTAAGTATAACAGCACCTAAACTGTTGCATGCTTAAAGGATGCTTAGTCCAGGATGCTTAGCCCTCTCACACATATTTATCATTTTTGCATTTGAAAAACTATTCTTTTCTCAATTCTATAGATACATAAATCAAAGCAAAGAGAGCCTGTTGAGCATTTCTGAGCTTATGGTGCAGCCTAAATTATTTACTTCAGGTTCTGTAACAAATGAGTAGTGCTGTGACTAGAAATCCATTTTCCCATTTCTCAGACAAGTTGCTGAGCCTACACTGGTGTTGGCTGGGTTTAATCCTTGTGGGTCCCTTTTAATTCAGAATAATAAACTAGCTTGTGGTTCATAGGGTTAAACTTCCAGGTACAGTAGCCTATCATTTACACTTTGTAATATTTCCCTTTTAGATGCACAGATATCAACCCCATGGCAGCTTACTGTACCCAGGAGACAGCTCTGCTTAACAATGTTCACCTGCAGCCTGTCATCACTGACTTGGTAAGAGAGAGCTTTCAGCAGTATCTCCTTCATAGTTTGTGTAATTTTTTAATACTTACTGCAGATCATGGAGTCACACAATAGTTAGGGTTGGAAGGGGCCTCTGGACATCACCCCCTGCCAAAAAAACCCCAAACAACTACTCAAGCTCTAAAATTCAAAATTAAGCTGTAAATGTAGTTTGGAAACTGCTGGACAAGGAATTCTATAGTGGCCTGACATTGTCATAGCCCTTTGTCTAAAGTTATGCAGTTCTTGGTTCTCATCCTCTTCTGATTTAATTAGAACTTTTGTCTGTTGTTACCTTTAGTTTCTTACAAAATTTGATATGGAGAAAAGCTAATTTTTCTCATCTCTTTAACCCTTTTATGTTTATAAAAGATGATGTAGATAGGCCACAATAAATGGGATTTAAAATGGTTGAACAACTACACTATGTAACTATATTTTTACAAATCATTTGCATTCTTCATGTTCCCAAAAAGAAACCCCACACAATCATCACTTTCACCTACAGGTCAAAGGATTATCCCCGAGATTAAATGGGAAGGTTGATCTGCTGCTGTTTAACCCACCATATGTGGTAACACCTTCTGAAGAGGTAGGAAAATTTTGAAATACACCTTAAAAATAGTATTGCTACTGTCTGTGGTTGTGACAATCTTTGCTTTCCTTCTTCCTAGGTGAGAAGCTGTGGAATAGAGGCATCCTGGGCTGGGGGCAAACAGGGCAGAGAAGTAATGGATAGAGTTTTCCCATTAGTACCAGACCTGCTTTCACCAGGAGGATTATTCTACTTGGTCACAATCAAAGAAAACAATCCAGGTGATCACTGTCCTTGGACATTCAAATGGGCCAAAGCAGGTTTCATATGGTATAAATGAAAATGTGATCACAGCTCGACCCAAAATGCAAGCAAATTTATCAAAACTAAGAACTCCCCAAGCTAGTTTGGAAAGTGGAAGTGTGTGGGACCCCAGCAGCTCTGCAGGAGTTCAGTTCCAAGTCTGAAAGGTGGATTAATTAAGTCTGAATCAATTAATGATGCCAGGCCAGTTCTTTCTTGTGGAAGAGAATGATGGTGTTAACTGAAAAGGCTTAGTGGGAAATGTGATGTCTTTCATTCTACAGATGTAGAGAAAAGATTTGGACTTGTTCTTTCTGATCTAATGCTTGATGGCCACAAGTGATCCTGTAATGTCAGGATTATTCTCCACACCTGATTTATTAGGCAGCTTTTGTGAGAAGGTGCTACAGATTTCGCTTTCTTCTGCAGTTTAGCTTCATACAGAATTCTAGCAAAACACTGAAGTTCAGTTTGTAAGTTGTAAGCTTTATTTGTGCTTGGTGGGAGATTATTTTGCATGAAAGTTCCTGCCTGAAAGAGTAGGAGGACAGAGTTTATAAACTTTGCTTTACAGCTTGGCAGATATTTTAGAATGAATTTGTATTCATTCAAATTTCAACTCATTTGTAAACACTGCACTTTCCATTGCAGATGAAATTCTGGAAACGATGGAGAAAAGTGGCTTAAAAGGCACACGAGTACTTTCCAGGCAAGCAGGACAAGAGATGCTGACAATCCTCAGATTTAGGAAATCTTGATAACTTCTCTTCACCTGCCAGGTAGTAGGCATGAGGAAAATTGAACTCAGAGTTGTCAGCTGGTGAACACTGAAGTGAATGCAGTCTGCCCTCTGTTAATGGCAGGAACTTACTCATTACAAGCAAAACATCAAGAAAGAAATGAACCCAAAAACTGAACTAGGGAACAAAATATCAATGGGTTCATGATGATCTAACATCCCCTGACATAACCAATGCCACACACCAGAGAGTCTGACTTCTACAAGCCATGGTATCGCTTTTAATTTGTAGTCTTCAGTTGTCATTGGTGAGAAGCAGGATCATTTTACACCATCAGCATTCACAACAAACTGCAAGTTGACAAGCAGCAGTGTTAAGGTATCCTTCTGTTGGCTTATAAAGTTCTTTCCTCTCCCAGGATCAGCGTTCTCAGCACAAATCACTTTGGCCTTGATTAAGGACCAGAGTCTTCCACGTCCCTCTGACCTTCAGAGAAGAAGAAAGAGCCTGGTTAAAATACAGAGATGCTCAGAGTTCAGCACAAAAGCATTTGGAGGAAGTTTGGATCAGTGCACAGATGGAAATACAGTGGCACTTTATACAATGCAAAATGTGAAAGCAGAGTTAGGAGTTGTTTCACTTGTTCTCACATAGTTGTCAAATATTTTTACTACTCAGGGTACTGAACTTCTCATCTCTTCCAACATATGTTCCAGCAGCAGATAAGGAGGATTCTGCAATTCTTCAATCCCTTGTAATGAGCACAACAGTTCTGCAGCTCATTAAACACCTTCCCTGAGCTTCAGAGATGGCTTCTCAAGGAATAATGGAAAATTTTATTTTAGTAATTGTACGTATTTATATTGCCATTGGGTTTTTTTGAGGAATGTAATTTTGGAAATAGAAATTGAATTTTAGTCCTTTTCACTTTTCCCCCCCCATTTTAAAGAAACATTCATGGAGTTTTTCTGGTGTACACTGGAGGGTGTTTTTGGGACTCTCATTGTTTTGTCTGTGGTTACAAAGCTTAAATAAGTTGGCTTCAACTCCCAGCTTACTTTTGACCAAAATAAAAACCAAACAAGTTTAGAAGGGGTAAGATGGAAGTGCATTAAAAAAAAAATTCCATCATGGTTCTGTAGAGACTGACTTGCAAGACTTTTGTTTGTGTAATGCTGCTATAAACATTATTTTGATATTTGTAGTAATTTGTGTCATTTTAGCAGTGCTTTATCACAGGAGGGTACTGGGCACAGGGTAGTCCTCACACCAGTCCAAATTAGCAGAGCCTCTTACTCAAAATCTTCTAGAGTTGAAAGTGGGACAATAATTAGATGTGGTTAAGCTAAATAATTGCAGATAAACTGTCAAATTAAGGATAATTTGACTGCAGACTGGACCTAGAGCTTGTGGGATTTCCAGATTTCAAGCTCAGGGTTGAATGCTACCAAAACCTTTGGCCGTGGTTCAAAGCACTTTGTCCTCAGGTGCTGGAGTTCTTACCTAGCCAGTTACTGAATATTTTTCAGTTATTATCATTTTCATCCTCTTCAGTTAAATTAGGAGGCTCTGCTGTGGTAGTAAAATAAGACCCATTATCTCCAGGGTGCACTGAGCACTGCTTTGGTTTCTGTTCTCCACCTGTAATGTTTAATAGCTACAGACAGGTTTAATTATGAGGCCACATCTTATTGTAAACTTGATAATTGCTCTGAGCCAGCATTACCTGAGGAATCTACAGGAATATCCTTTTTATCAACATGACTGGAGAAACCTTTTATTATCTGGGCATTGGGAAGAGAAAATGATCCTGAGGGTTTAAAAAACATCTTCCCTTCTGTGGCTCCTGCCTCCTCTCACAGAGTAATGAACAAAGCTGCAATGTTTTTTTTTATTTGTTTGTTGTTTTTTTTTTTTTAAGATGTTCCTGCACGTGAGGTTTTGATTTTACAAGAAGCAAGGTAGCAGAGAGGAAGGATGCAAAGCAGGATTTTAAACTTGTTCAGTGCTTCTGCATGACGTAAATTCAACATCAGTCAATTAAGAAGTTGAAAAAATTCACCATTCACACAACAATCTGCACTGGGGGTGATTGTTTTTACTGCATCTTCATAAGGACAAGTAATTTGGATTTTGTGTGTTCCTTTCTCAGCATGTCCTTTTCTTCCCCTAAATATTTTTAAGACTTAGCTGAACCTTCCCAAAAACTTTGCCCATGCAACGTTTCTTCATAAAGTTAGAGCCAAATTGAAAGCAAACAGGCATTTTGTATATAGAAATTGTCACCTCTGCTTATGATGGAAATGCTTACCAAAGTCTAAATTAACAGGACTTTTTTTCCAGAGTAATATTTTGGAAAAAAGAATGGAATCACTTTCTGAAATGTTATGTTTGGATTTCTTTTTTCTATTGAAAATTTTGTGTTTGGATGGAGTGTGTGATCAGGAGATGTTTATGAGGAGCTGAAAAAGCCTGACAAAAACTCCAATCCAGCCTAAAAGGAAAATATTTATGGAAGAGAACTCTTTGAGTGTTACTGCACACACAGCAGGGCTCCACTTGAACCAAAACTCTCCTACCACAAATTGCATTTTTGTGCACTGAAGACACCTGGTGGCTGCATCCACAGCCAGCTCCAACAGAAAAACTGGATATTCAGGGAAGTTTTTCTCTTGTTAATTACCACCTTGAGCCATTCTGTTTTTATGATATTATTAAGATACAAATGAGATATTTTCGATCTCCAAATGGTAATTTAGATTTTTAAATTTGGGTTTTTAACAAAATTTAATTTGAGACACTGCAGGAGTCTAGTTTTGCTTTAAAAGCATGTTTCAAGGCATAGTAAATACTAAATAAATATACAATAAGTATTTGTCAAAGTAAGGCATGAGAATCCTAATCCTAAACTGTATGATTAGGAAAGGGAGATGGCAGGAAAAGGTGTCACCAGATGGGTGTTGATTTGCACTGTCTGTAGTAACTCAGTAACTTCTTTGCTGAATCCTAAGAGATGTCAGGTGTTTAAAAACCCTCAGTGCAATTGAATTCAAAGAGCTGATTCAATTTAAACACAACTAGCACAGTTCTCTGTGTTGAATATGATTATTTTGGAGGAAGAGGCTCCAAAAATATGGGGTAAAATTCACACCTGAGGATTGCTATAAACAGAAACGTTCTTTACCCGATTCAGTCCCCTTTGTCCTGGCTGTTGCTACTTTACTGAAGGCAAGTGAAAAGAAAAACCCAGCCATAATCTATGCAATGTTCTTTCTGTCCCACCTCAGTTTTTCTTCTGACAAGACCACAGTTCTATTTTGGGGCTGTATTTTTCCTGTTTGCAGGAAACCACAGAGTGAGACACAGCGTTCTGAGAGTGAGCTCCAGGAAGTCTGCTGAAAATTACCTTTTAACACTGCACGAAGGAGGTTTTAGTGCCTTAAAGGAGCAGCAATGTTCCAGTGTCCCATCAGCTCCTTGCCTGTCACTGGTGATCACAGAGCTCAGGATTTACTGCTGCACCAGCCAAGGCAGCCCCTGCAGCTTCACTCCTCTAATTCCCTGTTAGAAGAGGGGTCAGCTCTTTCATTTGGATGCAAGTCCTTCACAACATGAGATTCTTTGCATCTCCCCTCTTTTCCCTCAGCAGTTTCAGTTTCAGGAGGTAAGCTGAGCCTTGTTAGACCAAAGCACACATCTTGAGCCAGGTTCTGAATTGTTGGCTGAGCTTGGGTGCTCTCACAAGGGGGCTCGGTTCATTCTGGTTAAAGAGCTGGTTAAAGCTTCACTGGGGGGTTTGTTGTCTGTCAAACACTTCCCTAAGTGCAACCATGGGTATTGTAGCTGTTGGATTTGTCATGGGGTAATGACAGCCTTCAGAAATAAGGGGAGGGAGGAAGCAATTTAAAGCTAATTATAGAAGAATTGAGGTGAGAAGGTGTCAGTTACTGCAGTGAAATTGGATGCTGAATTTGAGCTATTTTGGACACTGGAGGACAGATTAAAAAACCACTTGAGGCAAACCAATATACAAACCCCTCCTAAAAACCTCTAAAGTCCCTAAAACTTTTCTGTCAGCTCTGAACAGAACTACTGAACAGTATTTTCACCTGAGCTGCAGTAGCTCTCTGTATTCCACCTCTCACCCTGCACTTTCTACCTGAGATGTGCTTGTAGATATCAGAGGTGGCCACACAAGCTACAAATTCCAAACCCCTTGTAAAAAACTTGGTGGGATCAGGAAAAAAAATAAAAGCAGAACTGTCAGAGATTGACTCTCCTTCAGCCTATGCAAATAACAAATGTCAGACCTAATTATCAATATCACTGATTTGAAAGCTGTGTGTACTTGATCCTACTGCATCCTGGATATGGATTGAACTGCCTTGATTCACTTAAAAAGGTAAAATGGTACCATCAGAATTTAGCATGGCCTAATTACTAAACTTTAAATATTTGCTTCACCTGGTTCTGCATCAGCTTCCACAGAAATCCTGACTGATACATTGATTTTTGCAAGTGTGCATGTACTGTTTCATACACGAATTGTCCACACAAGAAAAATTTATAAAGGGTATGTTTATTTCTGTTCTGCTTTTCCATTTCACAACAAAAAGCTCTTGGTCTTAATGTGCTGTGACCTGGAAATGACTGAAAATGAGAAAATAATGGTTCATAAATCCATCACTCAAGAGGTTGCCTGAATTTATCATTGATCCATCCTCAGATGTCAAGACACGTCAGAATTCAGGAAAAGAAATGTGTAAACAATCAAACCCACACTTGATGATAATTTTTGATGGGTTGATGTTATTTGCTCAATTTTCATGAAGTCCCCAAGGGAGAGGGATCAAACTGTGACCTTTTGGGATTCTTCCACATTGCAGAAGCCCTTCCTGAAAAGATCTGAGGCCTTGGGTAGCTGCAAGACTCTGTACCTACAAATGGTTTACTGCAGTGTCAAAAAGCACAATTATTCCAGCTGGTATTCACTTGGAGCAGAAGGCATCATTAGGGAATTTCTGTCACCATGAAGAACATCAGGCATTGACAGGAAGCAGAGGTTTTGTATAACCAGTCCTGAAACAGACTTCAGTGTCATTGCACAGGTAAATCAAACAAATGCTTCAATATCTGATGTTACCTTAGGCTACAGCAGCAGCTCCTTAAATTTTCCTGTCCCCATCCATTTCTTGTGTCTTACACCACTCTATGAACCACCACATGTTCTTAATCCACTTGATTGGTAAAATAAGAGATTATGCATAAATTCTATAAAAAAGGAATACCTTTATTTTTTTTAAGAGACTGTTTTTTCATTACCAAGTGAAAACTTTACAATGTAAAGTATTTCTCTTCAGTATTGTTTTAATATAAAAACTTAAATCACTTACTCTGGTCTTACTGTTCCTACAGGAAGTCTTGTGGCACTGCAGGACCCAGGTATCTTCAGCCTCACTCTAGTATCTAATCATAAGTTCTTGACTTATTTTTTAAATAAAACCATTTCTGTGGCCACTCACCATCAACAAAACATCCCTACCACCAAAACAAAAATAAAGCATCTTCATCAGACCAAAAGAGACTAACAGCACTATTACAGTGAGAAACTTTGTTAAAATAAAAATATTTTGAAAGTTAGACACGACTTTAAAATTGTACAAAGACAACAAGCACTCAAATTACACAGAGTAAGTAGCAGTGAGTACAATGTGAATGCAACAACAGTGAGCCTTGCCTCTTTTTATATGTAATATAAATAGAGATTCCTTGCCAAACTTCCAGCTTTTTTTTTTCCTTTTTCCTGAAAATCAGCTCATTATGCTGCAAAACCTAACAGGGAGCATCTCACTCTTCAGTTCAGCAGAATTGCTAAAAGGGGCTCTGGTTAAAACCAGTCTTTCTATCGTGAGAATATCCCATACTGTGCAGAACAAGTTTCTCTCTCCACTGAAAATCAATTCCCTTTTATTGTGCTGAAAGCTTCACCTTCCCATGGGACCTGTCAAATTACAGGCTTCAAAATGATTAAAAATTCTGAAGCTTGCTCCTGGTTTTCCAAGAACATGCTAGCTGATACTATCATGGTGTGTCCATGGAAGGAGTCACTCAACAGAGAATGGTCACGTTTGTATTTGACTCTTTGCAAGTGTTGTTTCAAGAAAAACACTTGGGACTAATTTTAGATAATTTGGCTAAATTAGTTTAAGTATTGGTCAGAGAAGAAAATATTTCTTCTTTAATTTTTTCTATTACATTTAGGTCTCAATTGTATCCCTAAAACCACCTGGCAGAAAGTATCCCTTAGAGATTGTCCCTACATTTGGCTGTAAAGTGAAAACCTGACACTGCGACCATCCTTCCTTTACTTCTGAGATTTTCTTTACAGGAAATACATTCTTGCACAAGAAATTAATCCCCCATGGTGGCTGTTCAAACAACTCCATTACAGCCTCAAAACTAGGATTTAGTTATTCCTTAGGTTTAGATAGATGAGAAAACTTCTGCTGTAAATCTTCCCTGCAATTAAAAGAAAGTTATGTTTTATCCAACTGCAGCCATACTGGCAAAACTGAATGCTGAAATGAACTTTTGGTGAAACTGAAAGGTGAAATGAACTTTCAGATCTGGTGTTCTGAATTTGAGTGTTTGCAGGACTCTGTTTCATGACAGAATGCAACCACTTACTCATATTTTCTCTAAAAATGCCTTGATGATTAGGGTTATGTTCATGATTTTAAACTTATTCTTTCTAGATTACCTGGAAGTGCTTTATTTTTCATAGCTTTACTCCATTATTAATGTTTGTTGCAATGGATCAATGTCCTGATTTTCAAAAAAGCTTGAAAAGTATTGTGGCTTTATTTTTAAATGAAAATGTGCTATTATTAAGACAGCAGTGTCGTGCAAATTGAGTCCATTACACTTGCCAATTGCTTCATTTTTATGTAAAACTGTAAATTTGAAAGCAACTTGATTTTTTTTCTTTTTTTTCAGTTATGCAGGAGCCTGTTTAACGTTCCCATGAAGCATTTCAAAATGCCTATCAGTCTGTCAGTCAAGGGAAGAACACAAAGCATCTAATCCTATATAAATTGTTATGGGGTGCAGCCTGGAAAATCCCATGTTAGCAAAACTGAGTGAACTAGCCCAAATTCCTTTTGCCCATCCCACTTCCCTAGCTGCTTTTCTTTTCTTAATATCCCATTCTTCTCCATTTGCTTTAGCATTGCTGAGGTTTCAATAATGATTAAAAATTAAAGGATGTTGTTTCACTTTAAGGAAACAGCAGCTGTGAGAAAATGCTTTCAGTTCTTGTCAGGACAGAAAAGGCTCTTGGCAGTTTACCTTTCACTTGGCTTCAGAAGATTTATTAAACAGTTCTAGCCCAAGGCATTTAAGGATTTTAAGCTAAACCCAAGCTTGTGCAATAAAAAATTAGATTTAGGAAGGCATATCTTGATCTCTAGGATTAGAATAAAAAGTTGCTACTGTTATTTCTGTCTGAAGTCCTAGACCAGCAGTGGGCTGAGCACCCCTGGACTGATGCACATGGGTAAGAAACATCCTGCTTTTTAGCTTTGTCCATTTATTCCAGCAGGTTTCATAGCAGGACATGGAACACAAGTGCATTTCTGCAGACTAATTGCACAAAAAAATAGTTGTTACTAAGTGTGTAAGTCTCTCTCAGCCCAGCAAAGGAGACTGCTCTAGATAGAGCTGGGAAATAGCTCTAAACCCAAAATAATCTGGTTATTTTGTCTCTTTTCAGCAGTTCCTTGGTATTGCTGTAAATAAACTGCTGCGAAACTCTGCTGGGGAAAGGAAGCTGGACAACTGGCTCCACCCTCAGGAGTTAAAGCATCCTTATGCCATTGTACCCGTGGAGAGGGAGGACTCCTGAGCTCCCAGGAGATGCTTGGCACTTGTCTGAACCCAGAGCATCTCCAGATCTAGAGCATGCAGAGGTCAGTTGTATTCCAGCACTTTGCACAGTACTCCCTCACTTCATTCCAAACCCTTATGGAACATTTGTGTTAGGTGAACTATTTGGCATCATCATTTGGAATAGCTTAGTAACTGTTTACTAGATTTTGGAGAGAGTAACATTATTGAAATTCTTCAATTTCCCATTTTGCTTTTGAATCGATGTGGCCATGGCACAGAGTAAGAAATACAGCCCAGGTCTGTAATTCCATTATAAGTTCCAAGTCTGTGTGGCTTCTTACTTGTGTTTACAAGTACTGAAGAACTTTTGCAGTAACTGCTTTAAGATCTATTCTAATCGCTTCACCTCCCTTGACTGAAAGGCTGATGATAAGGCCAGATGTGTAAAGGACCTTCAGGGAAATATGGAGCAGCCTCTTCTCCTGTGAACAATGAAAAAAACTTCCCAGCTCCTCAGTTTAGTGCTTCTACCATCCCCAATTTAGATTTAGCTGAGTCCTGCTAGTAGGAAAAAGGCATTAATCTTCTCTGCTAAGAATTTGGTCCAGCATAAGTTTCACTTGACAGCAGCTGCACTGCAAACCACACTCAG